AGTTAATTTTTAACTTTTATTTTTTTAGTTTTTGGCAGACACAACATCTTTGTATGTGGTGCTGAGGATCGAACCCGGGCCGCACACATGCCAGGCGAGTGCGCTACCGCTTGAGCCACATTCCCAGCCCGTGAATTCTTTTTTTAAAAATATTTTTTTAGTTGTCAATAGACCTTTGTGTTATTATTTATTTATATGTGGTGCTGAGAATCAAGCCCAGTGCCCCACACATGCTAGGCAAGCATTCTACCACTGAGCACAACCCCAACCCAGAGCTGAATTCTTAGTAACTAAAAGTGCCAATCTTGGACACCTGAGGTCTGAGTGTTCCAGTCTGAGCTTGTGTAAAAGCCCTGAGGCAAGAATAGCTGGATGTGTTTGAGACATTGAGACTGATGTGGCTGTAGACTAAAAGCTGAGGTAGAAAGTGACAGGAGATGTAGTCAGAAAAGGGTTCGGATGGTATGGCAAGGAATCTGAATTTTAAGTTATATTGGGCTTGAAACAGGAGATGACATGAGTGGAAAAGTATGTGTAAGGCACACATGGTACTAGGTAGAGTGTAATTAGAAGTTTAATGCAACATAGAACTAGTAGCTAATCACCAAACCATGGATTTTGGACCCTATATTTAGACTCTGATCTATGATTGTTTTGGGATGTGGATGGGAATGGAGGACCATCCTCACCCAGCTGGACTTCTTCTACTGCAACGTGCTAGTGCCACCTGGGGTTCTATGGGAAGTTCTGGGTCCCTGGGAAATGACGTGTGTGAGATAGGATCAATAAGGAAATTTTCCAGTGGTTCCTTTCTAGTAGACTCCTACTTCCCTGAGAAAGAAGAGAAGTAGCCCTCACTTGATATGGCTTCTTTTACGGGGCTGGTAGGAGCAGAGATGGGGACACACTCCTGTGTCACAATCCTGTCCTTTGACCATATCTTCTTGGTTAGACCTCCAGAGCCTGCTCCTGATTACAGCCTGCACTTCTTTTTTTCTCTGACCTTTATGCCTCCCTCCAAGACACCCAGATTATAGAATTTATTTCCTCAAATGCTTGACATTTGTTATTATTTTAGTGGTTTTATATTCTTTTTTGTCATAACTTAGGAATATATCACTGTATTGTATTCTCTGCTTTTGATAGTAATGTTTGTGACAATTTATGTCCTTAATCCATATTATTTTACTAACAAAGGTAGTATTCCAAGTGGTTTTCAGAAAAACCTAAAAGAATAAAAGATAAAATCCTGATCTTGAGAAACTCTATCTCAATTGCTTATCTTTCTTGTATAAATCTGTAAGATTTTTGCTGTTTGCTTATGGTTCTCATCTTTACGGATTGCTTGATATAACTAAGTAAGACTGGTCTTTATCTCAGTTTAGGAAAAAAAGGTGAGAGAATCATTGAACTGTTTCCAGATACATTCATAAACACTCATAAAAGCACAGAGACACACCTTTGTATTCCCCACATAAATGTCTTCCTAGTAAGAAGTGAGAATGGAAGAAGAAGAAGGTTTTTGCAGTCTCTTTCCATGCTTGAGATTATGATTATTGAAAATTTAAATACCTGAAATTTTGTATCTATGGTTTAGCTCTGTTAGTTTCCCAATATATTGGAAAATGGTAAAGTAAGCAGTCTTAGCATCTGTTTGATGTTACTTTTTCTAGTCAGAGCTAATGACAAAATGTACTGGGGACTTCAGTAGCTTATTTTATGTAATACTGTAAAAAGTGGCAAACTTTTTTTAATATATGAAAGTAGTGTAATTTTCAGACTATTAAATAATTCAAATTATTTTAATGGCATACTGCCTTGCTTATAGTGAATAAAAAATAAAAAAAAATTGCCTCAACTCTTTTGTGTTCACAGAGTCAGATACCCTAGAGATTGAATTTTTTTTTTTTTTTAATCCAGATGTTTTTCAAAGAGCCTAATGTTAGGGCCTAATGTAGGGTTGGCCAATATAGTCCACATAAGAAACTAATCACTTCATTTTTCATTTCAGGGGTCAGAAACCCATGTATGCCATTGAACAATTTTATTTTGAGTGGAGTGAAAATTTTTTCAACATAGTTTTTTTTTTTTTTCCTTCTTTTCAGCACTGGGAATTGAATACAGGGCCCTGTGTGTGCTAGGCAAGTGTCGTATCTTTGATCTAGATCCTCAGTCCCTCTTATTTTATTTTGAGATAGGATCTCACTAGGTTGCTTAGACCTGGTCCTTAACTTGGATCTTTCTATCTCAACCTCTCAAGTAGCTGGGAATATAGGCATGCACCACAGTGTCTAGCTTCAATGTGTACTTTCTAATTATTTTTTAATTGATGTATTATAATTCTATATAACAGTGGGATACATTGTGACATATTCATACATACACATAACATACTTTCCTCATTTTATTCCCCATCAGAATATTTATTTATTTATTTGAGGCACTGGGGATTGAACTTAGGGGCACTTAACCATTGAGTCACATCTCCAGGCCTTTTTACTCTTTTGCTTAGGGCCTAAATTGCTGAGGCTGGGTATGAACTGTGTTTCTCCCACCTCAGCCTCCCGAGTCACTGGGATTACAGGTATGTGCCACACTCAGCCAACACACACACACACACACACACACATATATATATATATATATTTTTTTTTCTTTTGGTACCAGGGATTGAACTCAGGGGCATCCGACCACTGAGCCACATCCCCAGCCCTATTTTGTGTTTTATTTAGAGATAGGGTCTCACTGAGTTGCTTAATGCCTCACTTTTTGCTGAGGCTGGCTTTAAACTCACACAATACTCCTGCCTCATCCTCTCTAGCCACTGGGATTACAGGCATGTGCCACTGTTCCCAGCTCCAATATGAATTTTTTTTAGTGTGTAATTTTTTAATTGTAAATGGACATAATACCTTTATTTTATTTTTTTGTGGTACTGAGGATCGAATCCAATGCCTCATGCCTCATGCGTGCCAGGTGAACACTCTACCACTGAGTCCCAGCCCCAGCCCCAACATGTATTTTTTAATAACATTGTTGTCATCATATTTCAAGTTGCCTCAAGTTACTTTAGGGAAAGGTACAGAGGTCTTGTGGAAAGGATATTACCGCTTTGTGTTGAATTCCAGGCCAAACTAGAATCTTGTCATTTATTCAGGGGTTATTGAATATTACACATTTTATTCTTTTGTTTGTTTTGAAATGAGTTCTCACTATGTTACCAAAATTCCTCTCAAATTCCTGGGCCTAAGTAATTTTCCCACTGTTGTCCTTGATTAGCTGGGAGTATAGGTACATGCCTATATAAAACTTTCTCTTTCATTTATTTGCTTGTATGTATTTTACAGTGCTGGCAACCAAACCCAGGGCCTTGCATATGCTAGGCAGGTACTCTACCACTGAGCTACAATAAGGCCTCTTATTAATGAACACTAATATATTGAACACTTTGTATATTTATTATTTGAAATTTTTTTTATTGCATAACACTATGGGTAATACAAAGTCAGATAAAACACCATTTCAGCCCTCCAAATTTCATAATCTGATATGAAAAATAGGCTTATATTTCTGAGCAGCCCACAGTAATAAATTGTGCACTGTGACCCGGTACATGTTCATACGTATACCTATGTACATATTATCTGACACAAATGTCTCATTAAATGGTATTTACTTTTATTTTGAGTTAATGGATTCATTCTGTATGTTTCTTTTCTGTTCTGTTTCGTTGTTTAGGAATTCTATTATTTCTTTCATGGCTCACTGTGAATGAAGCATATTCTTCAGTGTTGAAAAAACTGTTCTAGTATATTTAGTATTACTGTAGCCCATTTTGTATGTATCTTCCTTTCTGTGATCTTGTTTAGAAGATACTAATTAAAGAGATAAATATAAAATGTAAGGAGGCTTGAATTTGTATCCAATACAAATACATGTGTGTAATTGTAATATCCATTTTCTTTAATTTATTCACAGAGCAGTCTCTTCGACTTATTCCTCTGCAACACTCCAAGGTGGCCAGTATTGTTAGAGACCAGAATCTTTCTAATGTGTGGACAGTTGAATATGCCCTGGAATTATTGTTCATTGGTGGCTTGGTTACAGAGGCTATATGGTTAGCATATAAACTTGGAGACTGGAAGACATCTGTTGCAATTGGCGTGGCCTTCCAACTCTTCTATAAACATGATAGCAGTTTTGTGAGGTATGTATTTTTAGGTAAGCTTAAGTATAACAGTATCATGTAAAGTAGCTTATATTTCTCTTATTATTGGTGTTTACGTATGTGGAGTTCTTTATTCAGCATTGGCCAAAAGAGCTTTCTAATGATAGAAGTATTCTGTATGTGCTCAACGTGCATGGGGTAGCCACTAGTTACAAGCAACTGTTGAGCATTTGAAATGTGGCTAGTGAGACCAATGAGCTTCATTTTGAGTTTAATTTCACCTATATTTACATAGCCACACGCTATGTAACATAGTGATTACTGTGCTGGATAGCTCAGTGGCTTGCTTATTTATAATAAAACATTTAACATATTTATGTGTTAGTAATGCCCTTAAAGGACATATAGTCAGTGGGAGAGTTTATCCCAAATAGGATTTGAGTTTTAAATTAATTAATCTGATCTTTCAACTTTTCAGAATATTATGGCATTGCTGTGTCTTTTATGTGTTTTTCAATTCACTAATTCAATATATATTTCTCTCTTTTTTTAAAAAATTATTTTTAATTAAACTGAAAATACCATGACACCACATTTTATATGCTTAAATTTTTTTTTAATATTTACTTTTTAGTTTTAGGTGGACACAATATCTTTATTTTGTTTTTATGTGGTGCTGAGAATTGAACCCAGTACTTCACATTTGCTAGGCAAGCACGCTACCACTTTAGCCACATACCCAGCCCTATATTTATTTCTTAAGAAACTGCTCTGTACAAAGCTTAACGTCAGGTATTTTAGTAGATATAAACCTAAATGTACATAGTTTCAATGCTTTAAGGCATTTATACTTTAATAGAGAAAATAGGACAAAGCATTATTATAATTTACATAGTAATTGATGTGGTAAGAAAAGGATAGTGGTACCATGGGGACAGTGATATTGTCAAGTGGGGGAAAGACAGGAAATACTATGTAGGAGATGTCATTTGAAATGGGAATCAAAGGACATATAGGATTTGGATGAATTAAATAAACATTCAAAGAAAACATCCTAAGTATGAGCAATGGCATTTGGCAAAATTAAGTTTTGATTCAGTTTGGATAAAGTATGTATGTAGAATAACAGTAGGAAATAAGAGTGGGAAAATGTATTAGGATTATAATTAGGGAGGGCCTTAATACACTGTTTTTTGTATGTAGAGTGAATAGAGTGTGTGAATTCTATTGTTTCTTTCTTTTCATCTTTTTGTTGTTGTTGTTGTTTGGAGGATTGAATCTAGGGGCACTTAACCATTGATCCACATTCCTAGCCCTTTTGGTATTTTATTTAGAGTCAGGGTCTCCCTGAATTGCTTAGGGCCTCACTAAATTGTTAAGTAGGATGACTTTGAACTTGCAATCCTCTTGCCTCAGCCTCCTGAGCTGCTGGGATTACAGACGTGTGCCACCATACTTGGCTTTCCATTATTTCTTAAATTTTTGTTTAGTTCTTATTTGTTTTTATGGTGCTGGGGATTGGGCTTAGGGCCTCACACATGCTAGGCAAGTGTCTACCGTTGAGCTTTTCTTTTATCAAAATTTGGATTCATTTCCCTTAATTTGATGTCATTTCAGGTCCAAAAAAAAGTGTCCGAAGCTACCATTAAATATGACTCCAGCTCACATTTTTCAGAAAAAATTGCAGTGTTTTTTAGGTCAACCAACCTCTTTGGAAGGAAAACAGGAAATGGGCTCAAAATATAAACAATTCACAGGTGTGTTACATACATAAGGTCTGACATCAGGTTAATATAAATTTTGTAATATAAGAAGTTTATAAATACCTGGAGATAGATTTATATTGTATGATTCCATTTATATGATTCTACAAAAAATAAAATGATAAGAACAGGAAACAGTGGTTGCCTAGGAGTAGTGGGGGAGGAATTAACTACAAAGCATAATGAAAGAATTTTGTAGAGTGATGGAAGTATTCTTACAGGCCTGTGCAGATATATCAAAGTTCACTGAGAAGGATGAGTTTTACTGAATGTAAATTATGCCTCAGTCTGATTTAAAAACAAAAACTCAAAGTTATTAGACCAGTTTAAGAGCCAATTAATGAAAAGATAAATCTGAGCTATTTATTTATTTTATGGATACATGATATCCATAAAATATGCATGTAATATATATACATCTCTACATAAATATAGAGATAAAGACAAATATAAACAATATGTAGAGAGATATCAAGAATTGAAGAATAAGAAAATGAAGTTAAACTTTGTAGCATGTAGAAAAGTTGTCTGTTAGGAATTTCAGTTGTATCTCTACCAAATTCTGGATAATGGCTACCTCTGAAAGATGGAATATGATTGATATGCAAGGAATTTCAGCTACATATGTAATATTTTAAAAAATATTTTTCATTGTCAATGAACCTTTGTTTTATTTATTTATATGTGGTGCTGAGAATCGAACCAAGTGCCCCACACAAGCTAGGCAAATGCTCTACCACTGAGCCATAACTCCAGCCCCAATATATAATATTTTATTTTTAAAAAATCTAAATTGATGAGGCTGGGGTTGTGGCTCAGAGGTAGAGCGCTCGCCTAGCACATATGGTGCCCAAGGTTTGATCCTCAGCACCACATAAAAATAAATAAACAAAACGAAGGTGTTGTGTCCATCTACAACTAAAATAAATATTTTAAAAAAATCTAAATTGAATATAGTGAAATGTTAATATCAGACATGGATGACAAGTGAGTATATGAGTGTTATATTCCATAGTTCATAGTGTACTTAAAGTATTTCATAATAGAAAAAACCCTTTCATCTCCAGTTCTGTCCTATGTCTCCTTTCAGTTTGCCTTCTGGGACATATCTGTGTATATACAGATATTTTCATATTTTAAAGCCATAAAATACAACTGACTTTTGCAATTTTCTATTTTCTTCAGAAGTTTTTTTTATTAATTACATTATTATAAAAGTATTGTCATGGACCACTGAAAGGAAGATTACTCTTTCACTCCCTTCTTGACAGGATTAACCCGACTAAGCATCTTCTGTCATAATGTTGTATATTAAGAAACATTTGTTGATTTGCTGTATTTTAATGTTTATTATTTTGGTGTATTTGTTTTTTCCATTGATATTTTTTCAAATATTACTACTACCACTACATTTTTTTTTTTTTACTAAGGACTATATTCTAACATTAAATGTGTAGTTGTTCCTAGAGTATCTCTTTTTTAGTTTTAGAAAAAGTTTCATGCTCTAATTGCTTATGATCTTAAAATAACAAGAAAGTTTATAAATTTTTGTCTGTAAGTTTGGATGGTTTGCTTATTAACCATTGTATTCTCGAGAATCTACTTTTTCAGATTAAAAAAATTTAGAAAATAGGATGAGAAGTTAAATGAGAATTTTAACTATTTTACCAAATTTTGTATTTAGTAGATCCCATTGAAGAGGAAGATGCAAATCTGCTATTTGGTTCAGTACAAGAAGTCCTGAAAGCATCAGTTATGGCTGATGCAGATATTCTTTCAGACACTTTACAGCATCTGATAGATTCTGCCAAGGACTTCAGTAAGAGACTGTGGGGCTTAGTGCCTGCCGGCTTGTATCTTCCAGCTCCTCCATTATATTGTCCCCAGCCAGCTATTCTCAGTCAAGTAAGCTTATGCATTATTCCTTTAATTAATTGAAAATTGATTTTGGTCAGTTTTAAAAATAGTCAACCTGAAATCAAGCATTGTCATTAACCTATCTTTATTTTTTCTTTAGCATTTTAAATTTTCTTATTATCACTAAAATGGGTTGTCTTATTGTTTCCAGGAAGATGGAGATGATCTTTTTGTAAAAGCTGAAAAAGACAATCGCCAAAAGGTGTCTGGAATACTTCAGAGAGTTCTCTTGCTCTTCAGGGCATCTCGGTGTTCTTTTCCTGTAGCACAGTGGTACATTTTGCAGCTGAGGAGGGCAAGAAAAATCATGCAGAAGGTATGGGAATGTCTTATTCATGTGCTGTGTTAAACAACTGAAATAAACTGATACTTATACTGTAATAACACTTTTCCAAGGAGTCCTGCCCTGTGAATCCATACATTTCAGGCTTATTTATGGTAAACAACATAAAAAGAGCAGATTCTTTCTGCCAAAAGATGAGAACTTTGAACTGGGTCTCCAGGTTAGTTATATCCTGCCTGATAATACAAAATGTCCAGTCAGTTCGGTCCTGGGAATTAAATTTATTTCTTCATTGAAGATAATATAAACTCAATTCAGGACTGAGGTGTGGGAAGAATTCACTTCTCTCTGGGGAGAGATCTCTGTTCCGTTGGGGCTTCAGTGTGTTACTGGAAGGTTGTGTGTTCTCAGCTCTTGTGTCTTAAAAAGAGATTTCAAGCAAGACACAGGTGTGGTCAAAGTTTAGCAAAGTTTATTAGAAGAGAAAGAGGAAGGGCATGGGAAAAGCACCCTCAAGGGAGATTGTTGTTGCTGCTCAACGAGAGGAGTGGGGCATTTTGTCCTTATTGGCAATACTGGTATCAGATCAATGTTGGCATCAGATTCACCATTTTAGACCGGGAGCCATTTTATCTAGAGTTTCCATTCTGAGAAAGTGCTGCATGTGCCTGTTAAAGGATCAGCCCCACCCCAGTTTATGATGCAACTCCTAAGCAGCTTAGGAAATTCCCCTTGTGGGCTATAAAGCTGCTCTGTGAGTGCCAACCCACAGCCTTGTGGGTTTGCCTTGTGCTACTGACAATAAATCTCTTGCGTGAGATTCTGGTGTGTGGTGTGGTCTTTGGACTTTGCTAGTCTCTGTGAGTGTCCTTTCAGTCCTAGTTTTAGTTAGGGCTAAGGACAGTTTCCAGAGGGTCTTTCCCAAGCACTATCTCCTAGCTCTTGATTGACAGTTGGATTGTATTAGATTTCTAAATCCCTGTTTTGTATATCTTAGTCAAGAGTGTCTAAGTAAAATCCATAGGGTGAAAATTTATAATTACAATCAGATTAAATGATATGTTGAGGACCTAAAGGCAACTTTTGATCATCTCGGCTTTCACCTGTTTATTTTGTCTGGAACTTGATTTCACAGACCTTGAGGCCATTTAGCTTTCCACCCTCCAAGTAGAGCAGGCCATCTTCCTCTTATCAAAGGAGGAGTCTTGGCCCTGTGATATGTTGTTACAAGGCCATTTTCTTACATCAGAGCAGGGCCAGGATGACTTTATTAAGTTGTTTCTTTAGAAACATATTGAGAGTTAGCACATAGGCTCCGTGTGTAGATTTAACACACTTAATCCCCATGTTTCCGCCTCTCATGTCTACCTGTTCCGTAAGTGGGTTCAAAGCATCCAAAGTTAGAGTGATTACTTGGCTATTTGCTATCCTTCCTTCCCAGGTTTATGTCTCTTATGTTCCTTTTCTTTTATCTATAACAGCCACCCTCTTTAAAAAAAAAAAAAATCTTGATTTAGATAAACAGGGTAATTTTCCTGTACTATATTCTAGATTTGTCTAATGGTTTTTTCATTTAGCATCATTTAACTTGTTCTTGTTTCCTTTTATTTCCTGTACATGGGTGAGCGACCTATACTCATGGAGGTAGGGAGGTTTGGTGCTATTCAGGAATAAACCTTCATAATGCTTCCCCATTGTACCATGTCATGGGGCACATGTGGCACTTTTGATGGTAGTGAGATTGATCAGTGGGTTTGGGTTTATGTTGTTATCTTCCATCAAGTTCCCTACCAGCCCACCAACTTTTAATCTCAATGGCATTTATTGATGATTCTTGCCTAGAGTCATTTTTTTAAGCGTTGTCAAGTGAGGACTTTCTACCTCTGTCATTGTAGATTAGGTTTTTAAAAGTTATATATGAAGTTAAATTTTTTTATATTTGTTTTTTGGTTTTGGAGTCTACACAGTTTATCTTAAATGAGATTAGATGCCTGTATTTCTTTTCTTTCTCTAAACTGTGGGGTAAACCAGGGATGAATAACCTTAGGTTATTTTTTATAAGCAAAACTGAGTGACAAGGGAGTATAAATGATTTAGTTAGAACTTTTTTTTCTCTTTTGAGATGTAATCTAATGAAATTCTTGAATTAGATTTGTGATCTAAGCTTCTGAAAGAATAGCTGATTTCAGGACTATTGTCCTTCCATAGTAGAGGAATCATTCTGTTTTCCATTTTATATGGTTGATCTTCACTGCCTTGTTCTTCTGTAGTTTCCTCTCAACATTATTTATACCAAGATTAATGTATTGCCATTTTTTTACTTTCAGATTCGAATGAAAGGTTCTCTTCCATCACTGAATCCTTTTCCCCAGTCCTTACTTAACTACTGTAAAGGAGGAGTAGCATTCTTCAGACCTGGAGCAACTGGAGACCACAAGCTTGATGAAGTTTCCATTAGAGCAATTGGTTTGTTGACAGTGAACTACTTGCTTAGAAATTATCCTATACGTGAATAATGGTGTATAATTTATTTGATTTGGCAAAATTTTTAAATGATTTGACTCTTCAAAATATGGAGTGGTGTATAATATTTTACTTAGTGTTTACAAGAGAATGCTATAATTTTAACAGCCATGTATGTATATACATTATAGTGTGGTATCAAATTAGGATTTTTTTTTTTTTTTTTGGTGCTGGGAATTGAATCCAGGGCCTTGTGCATGTGAAGCAAGCACTCTACCAACTGCGCTATACACCCAGCCCCAGGAATTTATTATATAATACAAAATTATGACATTATTTTTATTGTTTCATTATTTAAATTTGAAATTTAGATGCTTTTCTTGCCTGGTGGTGCTCACCTATAATTCCAGCTACTTGGGAGGCTGAGGCAGGAGGATCGATCACAAGTTTGAGGCCAGCTTAGCAACTTCAAGGAACTGTGTCTCAAAATGAAAAAAGGGTAGAGTATTCCTAGATTCAATTAAAAAAAAAAAAAAAGCTTTTCCTGTGATCATTTTCTTTTCTTTTTTTTTTTTTTTTTTTAAAATATTTATTTTTTAGGTGTAGATGGACACAACACAATGCCTTTATTTTTATGTGGTGCTGAAGATCGAACCCGGGTCCCACCTGTGCTAGGCGAGTGCTCTACCACTGAGCCGCAATCCAAGCCCCACCTGTGGTCATTTTCTTGAAGTTAGGGTATGCTGCCAAACATGAAGTGGACAGGCTTTGACCTTATCAGAATAGATTTATCATTTGTTTTCTGTTTTTCTAACTTAACATATGCTACCTAAACATTTTTTCCATTTAGAAAACTTTCATATCTATTAAGTTAAAAATTTCTATTAGCAAAAATTAAAAATTTAATTCAGTTTTTGCACTTTTAAGTTGCCTCTGACACATTAGGTTCCTTTATTGTATTTTAAAATAATTTTCTTAGGTAGATTCTTAGCAGTAGAATTGTTTAGTTAATGAATATACCTATTTTACATTTCTTAAAATAGTATGCCAAATGTTATAATTCCTTTAGATTAATTTGATGGGTTCAAATGATAGTTTTATGTTAATATGTTTTCCTTGTGACTATATTGAGTATTAGTTTTCTTTTATATTTCCTTTTATAAATTCATTTCCTATTCATAGTCTTATGTCCAGTTATCTGCATAATAAGCCTAAAAAGAAGTAAAACTTTGGATGCCATTCCACATTTTTCCCTTTAATTATTAATTTTTACCATTCTATTAATATTAAGCCTTGATCTCTCTAGACTTTGATTAAAATGGTCCTTTATAACTCACTTAACCTTTGTACTAATCTTAAATAATAAATGTCCTGGGGCTCAGATTGTCTGTTTTCAAACTATAATGGCATCAAAATGCTTTTCAATTGCTTTTCTCAGCTGTTATGAGCTTAGTTTATAGACTTTTCATCCACTCTAACAAAAGAAAGGGCCAGGCAGTTGTCCTTTGGAAATGTGTGTACAATCCAATTGTATTTTTTAAAAATTTGTACTTTGTAAATAATGAGTTAAATTCACAAAAATCCCAGTTAGAAGATTGTTGATCATAAATAAAACATGAAGCTGAGTGTAGTGGTGCTTATAGACTCAGCTACTTGGGAGGTTGAGGTCAGTGGATCACTTGAGCCTAGGAGTTCAAGACCAGCCTCAGCAACATATCTTGACCATGTAGTAGTTTCTTCTCACTTCCTCCTCCCTCTATCCCTTTGAGTGCTGGCTTCTTTCACTTAGCACAGTGTTTTAAAGGCTTAGCCACATTGTAGCATGTGCTAATATTTATGCCTTCTTGTGGGTGAGTAAGACTCCTTGTATGGCTACACTACAGTTTATTTATCACTTAATGTATATTTGAGCTCTTTTTACCTTTTGACTCTTGAATAGTGCTGCTATCAATGCGTATGTACTTGTACTGGTTTGAAAATCTTTCCATTTCTTTATACATTTTAAGGGAGGGGCAGGGGAATGAATGTGGGGAGGTGGGCAGAGGCAGAGAATAATAAAATCACAAAGTAAGAGAGCCCTATGCTGGCTGATATGCTTGCTAAAATAGGTCCAGCTAATTCAACTTTGGGCTTCTGACATTCTTCCCAACCACTTCTATCAGTAATAAAAGCAAGAAAGTGTGCTAAAATGACATGAGACTATGCAATAGGATAAGTGCTTTGGAGCTGATAAGTTACCAGAGACATATTTTACTCTTGGGTGTGTTAGGATGTGGAACATGTGTTTTTAATTTTTTTTTTAAATTGTAGATGGACATAATACCTTTATTTTCTTTATTTTTATGTGATGCTGAGGATGCTGTGATGCCTCACACATACTAGGCAAGCACTCTATCACTAAGCTACAATCCTAGCCACTTGAACATACATTTTAATAGTTTAATTTTGTCCTTGAGGGTCACTATTTAATTTGCTTAGTTTGGTCTTTCAGTTTTTGAGAAGTGATTTGGCTAGATTAAAAAGTTTGCATTTCTAGTTATCTAAAATAACAAAGTTCAAATTGTTTTAAAGCTTCTTATAGAGAATTTAAAAAACAAAAAAGATAATTAACTTTCAAGTACTTATTAGCCACCTCGACCAGATGTCAACACATGAAAGCAAATCTAAGATATCATGAGATTTTACTCATAAGTACTTCAGTATGTGTGGTCAATACAACAGGAAGTTTTTGAAAGCACAATTCCATTATTATACCTAACAAAATTAATTAAAATACTTTCACATTATATATTATCTATCCTGTGTTTTATATTTACTTGAGTATCTCAGTATGACCTCTTCAGTTATTTTTTTTTTCAAATCTAGAACCAAACAGGGTCCTCTACACATTGCATTTTCATTGATATGTCAATTTCTCTTAATGTATAATAGTTTCTCTCTCCCCATTATTTTTTTCAGACCATTTATTTATTAAGGAAACCAGGTCATTTATCTAGTAGAATTCCTCTAACTCAGTTTTAGTTGATGATACCTTTTTGGTATTCAAACTTTCATGACCACAACTTCTAATAAGATACAGATATTATATTAGTACTGTACATATATTAGTACTGTATGTACCTCAGTACAGTACTATATGGAAATGAAAATTTAAGGAGCAATCCTTACTATGTACCATACACTATTGCTATTTTCTGTTGTATTCTAGTTTTTTTAAATGGTTGAGATTCACTGAATTGATTTTATAGCCTGATAACAATCTATAATTGGAAGAACATGGAAAAGGGATGTTTTTAGATGAGTACTGCTGAGTTCTGCATGTAACTTTATGATTCTTGACCCTAGTTCAGTCCCAGCATGCCTATGAAATAAGAAATAGTGAAGCATTTATCAGTTGGTGCCTTTCAACAGATTGGGCCATGCTCCCTTGGTAGAACTCATCAGAATCTGGGGTATGGACTTGGATCATAGTGCAAAACTGCCCCCAGATGATCCTGACAGTCTTAGGGGTGTTTACCCACCACTCTTCTCTTTGGGGTGGATAGATTTGTAGAAGACCTGTTTTCTCCTCAGTTTTCATAACATCTAGCTATACTTTGTGGCTTTCCAAGTTATTTTTAAAATAAATTAAGTAGCTTTCTAACAAAAATGAAAATACTAATCACTAAAATAAAAGTCAGTTTACTGTAAAAATAGGCTCATTTAAAAAGATTAAGGCTTTTGGGGTTGTGACTCAGCGGCAGAGCACTCACTGGGGATGTGCAAGGCCCTGGGTTCAATCCTCAGTACCACATAAAAATAAATAAAAGTACTGTGTCCAATTACAACTAAAAAATAAATATTAAAAAAATAAATAAAATATTAAGGCTTTTAATGACTATTAAATTTGGGGGTATTACTTTTCTCCCTCCACAGGAAAAGGCTCTGTTAGCTATAGTAGTAGAAAAGATGAGTCTTACTTATGGACATAGTTAATTAAAATAAGGGAAAGTAAATTTAGTGTTAGCAGAATAGTTGAAATTCTTTTTTCTTGTACTGTGAGCCCTTGCATTATGTGTAGTTAAGTTATGATACTCCATACTATATTGGTGATATTAACCCCATGAAGTTACAAAATGAGTAAACTGATAATAAATAGAGTAAGTTATATACTTTATGATTTCCAAAATTTTCACCAACTGATATGCATGAAATATACAATAATGTGCATCAAAATTCTGGAAGAACCTATGACTTTCATATAAGGTATTTATGATAAACGTGTTTCTTTTATAATTAACAAAATAAAGACATTTATTTTGAAAAAATAACCATCAGAGGTGAAGTTGTTCTATTAATGTACATACTCATACATTCTTTTCATGTTTTTATTCCTACTTTAGGTTGCTTCAGAGAACTTTGTGCTTTGTGCTGGGTGCTACATATCCGTGATAAATTATCCTATAGTTGTAGGCAATATCAGAAAGCAAGAGAAAATGTGATGGGAGAAAAGGTATTTGCCAGCAGAAGAATAAGAAAAATGAACAAACATTACTTGGGAAATTATTCTTTAATGGAAGATTATTCTTTGAAATAAACTTTTTTTTTTTTTTAATTCACTCTGGTCTATTCATCTAAACTGAAGAGACAATTATCTTTTCAATATCTCTTTAGGACTTTGAAGAGGAGTTTGATTCCTGTATGGTTGAGCATTGTCTCAGTGCACTGGAATGGGCTTATAGAATGCTACCTTTCTCTCGGTTTTTTAATATTGAAGAACTTATTCAGGATATAATTTTGAGCCTTATTGGAGAATTGCCACCAATCAGAAAGGTGATGTGATTGTAGGTGAAAATAAACTTAAATCTGAATTAGAGACTTTGAAGAATTTTAATTTTGTTTAATAAAATTAATGTTCCCTATGTCTGGCCTATTTTACTTAGCATAATATCCTCCAGACTCAGAGACAAATATTATATGGTCTCCCTGTGTAAAACCTAAAAAATTCGAATTAATGGAAGCAGACAGTAGTAGAACAGGTTGTCAGGGCTGGGGTTGTGGTGGAAATGGGCAAATGTTGGTTATAGGGTCCAAACTTTCATTTATAAGAGGAATAAGTTTTGGATACCCAATGTGCAGCCATAGTGACTGTAGTTAATGATTCTGTATTATTTACCTGAAATTGGATAAGAGAGATTTTAAGTGTCTTAGAGTTTAAGGATCTTAGAGTAGTTTTGATTTGCATTTCTGTCTCAAAAGAAAAGGACTGGGTATGTAGTTTAGAGATAGATTGCTTGCCTAGCATGCACAAGGCCATGGGTCCAATCTCTAGTACTGCAAAATAAATAAATAAACAAACAAATAAATAACTAAATTAGACACTATCATATTGTGCACATTGAATGTACACAATTTTTGTTTATTAAATATTTTAAAATTTAAAAAATAAAAAAGACAAAGCTGATGCTTAACTTTCATTAGCAAGCTCATGCTTTAGAGAGGATTTGACCTGACATCAAAAAGTTAGTAATAAATATGCATTTATGTTTGAGTTGAAATGTTTGAGGAATGAAAAGGAAAAAAAAAGAATGATGTTGCTCAAAGAAATTTCAAAAATTTTTTTCTTAAGGTGGCAGAAATATTTGTGAACGCATTTCCGAATCCCGAGGAAATAAGAGTTCCTTTAAGAGAAAAGTATCACTGTCTTCGACAGAGACTCAGACACTGTGTTGTAAAAGGTATTTGTTATTTCTCAGATATTTAATAGATAAATGGCTAGAGATGCTCCCTCTTGTTTGAAAGCATTCACTTTCTTTTGTTTGTGTGGGTCTGTGCATTTTTGTCTTTCCTTTCTGAGAAGATAGCCACACTTCCTCATGGCAGAACTAATTGTCTTGCTTTGGAGCCAGACTGAGCAGATCATGGCTCTGTCAGTCATTAACTGTGTGACCTTTGATCAGCATATAGTGCTTTGTAAACTAGTGTTTATATACTGTGTAAATAGTATAGATACACACACACACACAAACACACTCTCTCTCTCTACTGAAAAGTAGTATTCTTTCATTCCATTTGTGGTTATTTTATATTATATACTCAAGATGACCTTGTGGATTTTTTTTAAATTATAGCAAAATATATATTATTGTTTTAACTTTTCTTTTTTTTTTTTGGCAGTGTTGAGATAGATCCCAGGACCTCATACATGCTAAGTGTGTGCTCTAAACTGAGCTACATTAGTGGCCATATGATTATTGTTGTTATTATTTTTTTGAGGTGCTTTGAATTAAACCCAGCAACTTGTCCTTGCTAGGCAAATGCTCTACCACTGAGCTCCTTTTCCAATCCTTTATTTCATGACAGGGTCTTGCTAAGTTGCTGAGGCTGGCCTTGAACTTGTGATGCTCCTGCCTCAGCCTCCCAAATAGCTGTGATTACCACACTGAGCCCAGCTGGAAGTTTTAATTTTTATTATTTTTTAAAATTTATATATGACAGTGAAATGCATTAAAATTCTTATTACACATATAGACCACAGTTTTTCATATCTCTGGTTGTATACAAAGTATATTCACACCAATTTGTGTTTTTATACATATACTTTGGATAATGATGACCATCACATTCTATCATCTTTTCTAACCTTCCTCCTTCCCCTCCCGCCCCTCCCAAACTCTATCTAGAGTTTGTCTATTCCTCCCATGTTTCTCCCCCTACCCTACTATGAATCAGCCTCCTTGGATCAGAGAAAACATTCAGCATTTGCATTTTTGGGATTGGCTAACTTCCCTTAGCATTATCTCTTCCACCTCCACCATTTGCCTGCACCATGATTTTATTTTTTTTTTATTGCCGAGTAATATTCCATTGTGTTTAAATGCCACATTTTTTTTTTTTTATTGATTCATCTATAGAAAGGCATCTAGGTTGGTTCTACAATTTAGCTATTGTGAATTGTGCTTCTATAAACCTTGATGTGACTATGTCCCTGTAGTATGCTGTTTTTAAGTCCTTTGGGTATAGACCAAGGAGAGGGAGAGCTGAGTCAAATGGTGGTTCCATTCCCAATTTTCCAAGGAATCTTCATACTGCTTTACAGCAATGGATGAGTGTACCTTTTTCCCCATATCCTTGCCAACACTTATTGTTGTTTGTCTTCATAATAGCTGCCATTCTGACTGGAGTGAGATGAAATCTTAGAGTAGTTTTGATTTGCATTTCTCTAATTGCTAGTGATGATGAACATTTTTCCATGTATTTGTTGATTGATTGTATATCATCTTCTGTGAAGTGTATGTTCAGGTCCTTGGCCCATTTGTTGATTGGGTTATTTGTTTTCTCGGTGCTTAGCTTTTTGAGTTCTTTATATACCCTAGAGATTATTGCCCTATCTGATGTAGGAGGGGTAAAAATTTCTCCCAAGATGTAGGCTTTTTATTCACCTCTCAGATTGTTTCTTTTGCTGAGAGAAAACTTTTTAGTTTGATTCCATCCCATTTATTGATTCTTTATTTTAATTCTTATGCCAAAGGAGTCTTATTAAGGAAATTGGGGCCTAATCCAACATGATGAAGATTAGGGCCTACTTTTTCTTCTATTAGATGCAAAGTTTCTGGTTTTATTCCGAGGTCCTTGATCCATTTTGAGTTGAGTTTCGTGCTTGGTGAGAGATAGGGATTTAATTTCATTTTGTTGCATATGGATTTCCAGTTTTCCCAGCACCATTTGTTGAAGATGCTATTTTTTCTCCAGTGCATGTTTTTGGCACCTTGTCTAATATAAGATAATTGTAATTTTGTGGGTTAGTCTGTGTGTCCTCTATTCTGTACCATTGGTCTACCAGTCTGTTTTGGTGCCAATACCATGCTGTTTTTGTTACTATTGCTCTGTAGTATAGTGTAAGGTCTGGTATGGTGATGTGACTGCTTCATTCTTCCTGATAAGGATTGCTGTAGCTATTTTGGATCTCTTATTTTTCCAGATGAATTTCATGACTACTTTTTTTATGAGGAATGCCACTGGGATTTTGATTGGAATTGCATTAAATCTGTACACTCTGGCTGGAAATTTTTAAAGAATTCATATTACTGTCATTTTTTTTAATATTTATTTTTTCTTTGTAACTTAATACAATACCTTCATTTTGTTTGTTTATTTTTGTGTGGTGCTGAGGATTGAACCCAGGGCCTCACACGTGCTAGGCGAGCACTTTATCACTGAGCCACAACTCCAGCCCCAACTGTCATTTTTTAGAATTACAATCATCAAGTCTAGTTATGTCCTGTGATCATACATTATTGTCCCATGATCATACATAATGTCCCATGATCATACATTATTACATTAACAAACTTGCTTTTGTGATTTGTATTTTTAATATATATTTTGCTATCTTCTAAAATGTCCTGTTTATATATTAATAAAAATGCTTAAATGTTTTTCTAAAAAAATTTCTACAGGTAGCCTTGAAAAACTTTCCTTTCAGTTATTTTTCACTACTTGCAGTACGAAAGGTGTCCTTATTATTTTGGATAAAATTATACTCATTTTCTCTTATTCTCCACTCTATGGAAATAGAAAATAATATTAGTTATTTTTTTAATAATATTGATTTGATTTTTGAAATAGACTTTCCAGTGAATACTGAAGAAAACATAATCTGTAAGAATATGGAAATAAGCCTTAGCTGTTATTTAGGTTCCCTGTCCCCAAGAGGGACCAGAATTGGGTTTCCATATATTGTGTTGAAATAATTTAATGAACCACAAGCCCCTTTCTTCTTTTCTTTCTAGGTCCCCAGACTGAGGAAATGATGTCTGTTGTCATGCATTCTATCCATAAAGTGAGGGTAAAAGCTCTAAAACGTGTGCGGAGAAATATAGGTTCTTTTGAGATGAATGTATGGGAACCAATTGAAGAAGAAAAACCAGATGAGATTGTGGGTTTGGATAGGTTTTCTCTGGGGACTAGCCTGAGCAGAAGCACCCTCACAGAACTGGGAAATTCTATGATCCATAGTGAAGGAGATACAGCTGATACATTCTCTGAAGCTTTGTCGGCTGAAGAAAAAACTAGGATACCTTTCTGTCAAAGGTACAACTAAGATTTCTTAGTAACCATTCACTTCCTTTGGAAAATAATTAAAAAAAATAATTCAAAGCACTTCTGGTGCCATTTTGCATAAGGGATACCCAACCCTTAACACTGTGATTAGGTTAACCATATTATTTTTAAGGGTTTCCATGGTAGTACTTGAATATTCATTTTTTTTTCCTTCCACATTTTTTTATTGGTATATTGTACTTGTACATAATGATGGGTTTTGTGGGTATGTATTCATGCATGCACACAATTTAACAGTATAAAATTTGGCCAATATCACTCCCCAACACTTACCCCAATCCTCCCCTCTTCCCTCCTCTCCTACCATACCCTGATCCCTTTCCTCTATGGATCTGCTTTGATTTTGCATATTTATTTTTGAAATTTATTCATCAATTGTTGGGAAATTCTTGCTTTTATTATCTAAACCCATGTCACTGTGACTTAAGCCAATTTTTCTTTTATGTTTCTAGTAACTGCAGTACAGTTTTTTTTTCCCTTGTGACTTAAAGACTACATAATCAACAATAATTTTGCTTAAGTGAAATTATTACATCTATTCCAAATGTGTGCTTAAACTGTATCTAATGGCATTTTAAATGGTGTGCTTGTTTCACAAAACAGTTATCATTAAATATTAGCACAGGCATCCCCATAAAAGCTGCTTACTGTGTATTCTCAGAAAAAGTGTGTTAGTTTCAACCTCATCAAGAGATCTTAAGTATCTATTCTGCCCTAAGGACAGTGTTGAAAAAGAAATTTTACAGTAATTATTGTTGGCAGCTAAGGTGCTTGCCTAATGAGTTTCTTGGCAGCTGGAAGTGTTTAGAAAAAGTTCCCAACTTTTCTGTGGTAAAATAAAAAAGAGCAGTCTCACTTTTGCACATGATATGTATAAGGGGGCTGAAAGGAACAGCCACAAGAAAGAACTTGTGGTTTTTATTGATTTTGTATTCTTAAATTCTGGATAAAATTTAGAGGACCATATTTTAGACCCAGAAAAAGTATTCTTGTTTTTTATAGTTAAATTTCTGTCAATATATTTTAATATCTTTTAACACAAGATTTCCCTCTGATATTAGTGTGTTGTATTTGTTGAGCCTATAGAATGTTCCACTTTTTAGCGGTCATTTTAGTCTCCTTCCACATTTGAAACAGTAATTGAGGCACAAAAATGTTGCATGACTTAATCAGTACAGATATTTTGTATGTCAATTCTGAGATCAGTTTTAGTAATTAAATGATCATTAATTATGTCTTTCTCAATTTTTTTCTGTAGAAACTCCCCAGATAACATGGAATTAACACTGATTCATAAGCCCAGTGATAGAAAGAAAATATGTAATCAGAGCAAAAACCCTAAAAGGAAAGAAGATCATGGAAAGCTATCACAAAGTACACTTCCTGTAATAGGTGTTTGGGAATTTGAGCGTGATGATGATGAATATATTAAATTCCTTGATCTTTTCTTGAGTTACGTTCTTGAAAGAGACCTTCTCAGTTCCAGAGATCCTGGCATTCCATTTTTAACCAGCTTTTCTGTACAACTTAGAGAACATGAGCTTAATTCTTTACTTTTTGATGTACATACAACATTAAAACGACGTCAGGGCAAAACTAAAAGTCAGAATGTGTTTAGAGCTGGCTCTTGCTTTGTTGTTGCTCCTGAGTCACCTGAATCTGGAAAAGGATCCTCTGTAAGTGATGGATATGCCATAACTTTAGAAAACCACGCACTTTCGGCTTCAGAACTTGTTAGTCACGGGATGAGACCTTTTTTAGAGAACCCTTTGTATGACATCAGTAAAGATGAAGGAAAGAGTGGATTGTTTGGTTTAAGAAAAAAGTCAATTTACAGAATTCAAGATGGTAATCGAGAGAAACCTCTGAACCAGAGACCATCAAACCATAGTTTTTGGTCTTCCAAGACCACTATACCTAGAAGACACAGTTTCAAAGCAGTTCAGTGCAATGATATTAACCCTCAGGAGGATCTCCCTTTGACAGTAAAGAATGCATTTGGCAGTATAGGAAGACTGTTGGAGTGGATGATAAGGTGGTCTGATCGAAGATTGCTCTGTGATTCTGGTATCACTTGGTCACCCTGTGAGTACAGTCCAGTAATTCGTGTGAAGACTTCTGCAGCTGCCATTCTTACCTCATTATGGCTTTTGGAGCAACCCTATTATTTTTCTACATCTAAGGCAAAAAATGCCATTATTAAGGTAAGGAAGTCAACTGTTTATTAGAAATAAGAACTGTAATTTTTATTAAAATTGTATATTTTCCCCTTTATTAAAGAATCAGTAATTAATGGGAAATTAATAATAATGTTGATGATATTCTTTATTTTTTTAAGACATTGATGGACCTTTATTTTATTTGTTTATTTACATGTGGTGCTTGCGAATCGAAACCAGTGCCTCACACATGCTATGCAAGTGCTTTGCCATTGAGACACAATCCTAGCTCCTGATTATATTCTTTATCACTCAATTTTTTTTCTTCCAGTAATTTTTAAAAAAATATTTATTTTTTAGTTTAGGTGGACGCAACATCTTCATTTTTTTTTTTTATTGTTATGTGGTGCTGAGGATCAAACCCAGTGCCCCAAGCATGGTAGGTGAGCACTCTAACTCTGAGCCACAACCCCAGCCCCAACTACCAGTAATTCTTTTAATTCTTAAACATAATTAGTGTTTGGGGGTGTAACTCACACTTGCCTAGTATGTGTGAGGCCCTGGTTCCATCCTCAGCACTACAATAATGATAATGGTGGTGGTGAGGGTGCAAGTGCTTTCATAGAGGCTGTAGGTTTTGAAGTGTATGTGTTTGTGAAAAATAAAAAAAGATGAATAACTTTAAGTGATATTACAAATGCCATAACATTTATATTATTTCTCTTTTAAGTGTCAGACTTTGGCTCAGATGAAGGATTAGGTATTGACCCATTTATTATTATTATTGATGCTTCATTAAATGCAACAGGGAATCTTTTTATTTGTAGTCTCAGACCAGAAGAGTACGAAGAACCTCACCTGGAAAGGTAGGTATTTTGTCAGTAGAGAAGTGCTGTTCTTTGTTTTCTCTGGTCAGTAGCAAGTGCCTTCATTCTAAAATAGTTTATTCTGGTTCAAGGGTAAGGAAGTCAACTGTATAAGAGTTTCTGTAGAAACTCCCCAGATCCATGCTATCACCCAGAATTTGTATTATTTTTTATTTATATGGGTGTTTTCTTTCCTTCTTTTTTTATTTTTGTTTTTGAGATCAGTTGTTCTCCTAAGGTACACAATTTAATTATTTGGTGCTATGATTATGTATTATCTTTGAAACTTGCGTTTTCTAGTTAATATACACATAAATTCCTAGGTGCCTGTATTTTCGTGCAATGTGCCTTGTTTTTGGTTCCTGGGATTGAACCCAGGGGTGCTTAAACACTGAGCCACATCCCCAGCCCTACTTTATATTTTATTTAGAAATATAAAGTCTTGCTTAGTTGTTAAGGCTGAGGCTGGCTTTGAACTCAAAATCATTCTGCCTCAGCCTCCCAAGCTGCTGGGATTATGGGCATGTACCGCCACTCCTGGCCACTGGGTCATAACTACTGAATGTCTTTATTTTTTAAAAATAGTCTGCCATTCATTCATTCATTCTGCTACTGGGAAATTGAATCCAGGGGTGCTTTACCACTTAGCTCCATCCCCAGTCCTTTTTGTATTTTGTTTTGGGACAGGGTATAAATTGCTGAGACTGGATTACAGGATTACAGGTGTTTACCACAACACCTAGCTAAATGCCTTTATAATTGCAAAGAAAGTGAAACTAGAGTATTCAATTTTCATTGCCATTGTTTGGTGACCTGAAAATAATTAGGATACACTTTAAGAATTTCGAAGTTTATTTCTTTGGTATACTATGTAGGAAGTCATGTGTGCTTTTTCCAGGTGGAATAAAGACTTGGTCATTGCTTCAGTAACAAATATTGAGTTGTAAAACTGCAATAAATACTTGATAAATGAATAAGAGAATTGATCAGGAGAAGTTTATAGAAAGTATGAATAATTTAAATATAAAAATTAAGGGATCACTAATGAAAACAAAATGCTATAAATGGTTTGTTTCAGGAGCTAGAGAATCATACTAAGTCTCAAATTGGATGCAGTATGGAGAGGAGGAGGAGCAAAATTGATGCTGGCTGTTTAGCTGTAGTAGCAACTCAAGGTGGAACTGAGGAAAGAGATGATCAGAATGAATTTTGTCAAAGTATCTTGAAGTAAGTTGCTCCTTGTGCTCTTCTTTTCAATAGAGGTTGACTGGTTTGTTAGTTTGGGGCTTAAAGAGAGGAATTGAACCCTTGAAAGTTAAAGAAATGAGCATTTTCTTTGAACTAGAAGAATAGAAATGAGCTTTCTGATATACTTCAACAATTAATTGCAAATTATGTTTTGTCCCTGTTGGTCTGGCTTTTTTAGAGAGGAGCTAATTCATCTTGACAGATCCAGTTATTAGTTCAGAGGGAGTTGAATTAATCCAATCATCAGGGGTTTTTTTTTATTTGAAATAATAATAATATATCTGAATACTGTGTTAGCTTCCTGTAACAAAGTACCTGGGAAAAGGTTTGCAGGGTGCAGTGTCACATACCTGTAATTTAGTGGCTTGGGAGGCTAAGACAGGAGGATTGAGAGTTCAAAGCCAGCCTCAGCAATTACGAGGTTCTAAGCAATTCAGTGAGACCCTGTCTCTAAATAAATTACAAAAACAGGGCGAGGGATGTGGCTTAGTGGTTGAGTGCCCCTGAGTTTAATCACTAGTACAAAAAAAAAAAAAAAAAAGAGAGAGAGAGAGAGAAAGAGAAAAAAGGTTTGCCATGTGAACCTTTATTATAACAAATATCAAGGCAAAAGCTCTTACAGCATGAAGATTCCTTTGTGAAAAAAGGCAATTTTAGATAAGTTGAAATTATTTTAGTCTTTTGAGTAAATGAAAACTAGAATATTCAGCTATTTGTTGATCAATTTTTTGCTGAGCTATGTACCAGAAATGTACAAATTAGAAAAAAAGACTCGATAAAGATGAAAATGAAGTTTATAGTTGTTTAAAAAAGTATGGAGTCAAGTGGAAGCATGCTCTTTGTCCCTAAGAATGAGTTGTAACTTTAGTTGCTGCATTTTTTTCAGTGGAAAGCTGACTGAAGCAGAAAATCCTAAAGTAAAAGAAGTCAATGATGAGATTATTTCCATCAGTCATAATTCTGAAAAAGAATTTATAGATTCCAGTGAGAATCTTTTAGAAGTAGAAACATTTACACAGGATGAAATGGATATGCATATGTCAAACTGTGAAGGTCAGTTATATAGATCATCATTTTCTTTCACTTTATTAATTTGAAATTAATAAGTGATACCTGAAATTATAGTTTTATATCTAAGTCAGTATGTTTACAATAGCCCAGAAATAAAAAGAGAATGTTCTTTATGAAATGTTGAGTGTATTTGTAACCTTAGGTTTTTAATAAAACCAAAAACACATAAGGCATTTTTTTGTTAGTAGTTTTTACAATTATTGGGCCTCTTGTCCTACCCGTTTAATAATGACAGGCACCCAATTGAGTCAAATGTATGAAAGATGTTATATCATGAGCTCTGTAATGTTTTGAACAATCAATAAAAAAATGAAAAAAAAATAATAATGACAGGCCTCTTAATTCCTGTGAACTGACCCCATGAAACAGATGTCATCAAAGCAGAAGCTCTGAGAGCTTTACATATGGAAAGGAGCTCTCCTAGGACTCATCAGGGATTTACCTGATGAAGAGTCTAAGTGTTTTTTGGTTTTTTTTGTTTTTTGTTTTAAGAGAGAGAGAGAGAGAATTTTTAATATTTATTTTTTAGTTATCGGCAGACACAACATCTTTGTATGTGGTGCCGACCATCCAACCCGGGCCGCATGCATGCAAGGCGAGCGCGCTACCGCTTGAGCCACATCCCCAGCCCAAGTCTAAGTGTTTCTTAACAAATATTTTGTTAAGGTAGAAAATGTTTCCTGTAATATTCCTGAAACCCTTAAATAAGTCAAACGATTATTTTTCAAAAGGCAAATTTTCTTTTCCTTTAATTTTCTTCTAGAAGAATCTGTTGGAGGTCTCAAAAGTCCCAATATTGCCATTTACATGCCAGCTTTACCACAGCAATTGGAAGAGGTAAATCAATAGTGGATAAAATGATCTAACTTCTGTCTATAGAGTTTAAATTATATCTAAGGGTTTTTATCCACTATTACAAAATATATCAAAGCAAAGCTATTATCTTTTACATCTGCACTATTGAGCTAAGAATAGAGCCATGCCTTGCAGAATTTTTCTTTCACTAAAATTTTACTAGTACATGTCCAATAATTTTAGGCAATGACTCTCTTTTCATAAACTGCTTCAGCAAATTAATCAAGAGTGGTGAAAATGTTTGTAATTTATGAAGTATAATTCAGTATAGGATGTAGTTTGTAATACTATATGCACTTTCTATATTAATTTGTTTTCTCAAAATTCTATATACATTGAACATCTAGGTGGAAGATTGAGTTTTCCAATTAATGTAATAATTCTTTTAGAAAAGAGTGGTCTTTTTTGATTTTGTAGTTGTTTTCACAGATTAATTAATAATCATGCAGTGATGAGTGTATGTAACTTATATTGTGTTAGTCTACTCACATTATCATGTATTTGTACCTGAATATGCTCAGTAGCTCAGAATGATAGCCAAAGGCAGTTCATATGGTCTAAGGATCTGGTCAGAGCAGTCCTGGGAGTACATGTTAGTATTTGATTTTCCCTTGCTTTTAAACTGTTACTCTGGGCAAGTAGCTCATGTGAAACTCAAAATACCCATCCCAGGAAATTCCTATTTGTTTTACCTCTTTTCATTTTGGGTACTATTTTTACAGCATCTGACAGAAGAGGTTTTGTGTCCAAGGGAAGAACCATGGGAGGCTAATATGAAAGAAAAATCAGTTGAACAGAAAGGGTAAGGGGAAGATAGTATGAAATGACTTCACTGTCTTCTTTAACTCAGTGAAGCTGCAGCTTTTTTTTTCCTCTGAAGTTGTACTATGTATTTTATGGTGTTATTATATTTCTAATGAAATTGATAACTTAAGTTTATAGCTAGAGTAAACAATGATTTTTGGTAAATGTTACATTTTCAAGTTGTGCTAGAGTGGAATAAATAATAATATCGAAAATACCTTTTCTTCTCTATCACTATCAGTCTTATCAAAATAAAATATAACTGTAAATAGAACAGTGTATGTTCATCTGCCAATTAGCTAACCACCTTTCCATGTTTATGGAATCAAAGAGCCCTTATGCATCATGATTACACATGATCTTTCCCCATTAGCCCTGCAGTAGAGCTACAAGGAGCACATGCTCTGCTGGCTGGCTTGTTACTGTTTCGGAAAGAGCTGAGGGCAGTTGTAGAAATGAGTTAGAATTTTAGGATTACCTTGAATATGAGAGGCAACATAATTAGATTTTCTTTTTTTAGTATACAAATTTTGTTTAGTTCTACTGTGAAAAATTGACAAAAAGATTTTTTTTCCCCCTCAGGGGTGGGGTTCGATACTCAAGGACTTGCACATGCTTTACCACTGACCTCTGCCCCCAGCCCCCCAAATTATACATTTAACGTGATGTGCCTTTATGAGATACATCTGTTTGTAAAAACTAGTCTTTACAGTTTCATACATGACAAAAATTTCTTTTTTTTAAAAAGATATTTATTTTACATTTATGTGGTGCTGAGGATTGAACCTAATGCCTCATGCACGTTGCCACTGAGCCACAACCCCAACCCCAACAACAATTTCTTCAGTGTTCTTAAGCAAAGTGTTTACCTGTTTCATAAGAGAAATTTGGGTCTCAGCCAACCTCATGTCCCTCATTTTAGGTTCTGTTGTTTTTGTTGCTGAGCAATCAACATTGTTTAAGTTAAGTCATATAGAAATATTTTTTTGCTTTTGTTTGAATCTATTTCTAATCGCTATGGAGACAGATGTAAATAGATTATGATTATGAGCCAAACATTACAGAGTGTTAGAGGATGTTTAGACTCTTAGATGGCTAATCATTAGATCACCTGTATCTTAGATAATGTAAACAATATCTTCCTTCCTAATCACTTATTAACTTTTATTTATAGTATGACTGAAGCCTTTTCAAATCCTGAACATGCTGTTTCTCACTCATTTTGTATAGATACAAATTCAGAAATTTCTAGGTAAGAATTTTTGTCTACTACTTTAAAAATGATCATGTTGTACTAGTGAGAGGATGAATTGATGCCTACTGTACCAGTTTGAAATAACTGCTAAATGTTGGCTAAAACTATGAAAATAATAAATGAACACACCATGCAATATTGAAAGAGTAACAGCACAAATTTTTGACATCTTAGTTAATTATTCAAAGATTCTTTCTTTACCTGTTGTTAAGGACATACAGGGATACTTTTTTCCCAAAAAAAAGTAGTAGATATATTATTGAAAGATGTAATTGTTGCTATTTTCAGCTTCTGATTTCTAATATCATTTGAAATACTTTTAATTCTCTTTTGATGAACAGAGTGCTTTCTGTTTAGAAATCGTGTATAATTAGGAGGAAAACATAGCATGGCTTTACTTTACAAAATTTTTACATAATTAGAATTGGTCTTCTTGTTAGTTGTTGAAAACAAAGCCCAGTAGCTTTTTAAAATAGTCATATATGTCATGATAGTTATTTTTCATGAATGTTCCATATTAAAAAAATGTTCCATATAAAAAATTAATGTTCCATATAAAAAAAAGTTTTGTTACTGAGCATATTAGATGCCCAATAAGAGGCAGATATTAGCTCAAAGGGATTGACTGTAAACCCAAATAAATCTAAGTGCCTTTTAGTATGTTGTTTTCTTTTTGGAAACAAAAAGAAAACAATTTATTTGAATATAAACATCTAATTTATTTGAATATAAACATCTGTTCCTTTAGTTTATGAAATTTATTTGCTTAGAAAACATTGGCTACTTGCTATTTTTAAGGAATTGGTCCCCAACAATCATTTTATTTAAAAAAACAAAAAATTGCTGGATGCAGTGGTTTAAGCCTGTAATCCTAGTAGCTGGGGAGGCTGAGGCAGGAGGATCATAATTTTAAGGCCAGCCACATCAACTTAGTGAAGCCCTGAGTAACTCAGCAAGACACTGACTTAAAATAAGAAAAATAAAAAGTGTTGGGGGTTGTGGCTCAGTGGTAGAGTGCCACAGGGTTCAGTCCCCAGTACCAAATAAATAAATAAATAACAAAACCAAAGAACTAGATTTGATCTTTAATTTTATTTTTAAATAAATGTTTTTATTAGTGTTTATTATATTTATTTAGAAAAAGGAAAAAAGAAGTTTTATTGCTTTGCTAGCAAAGGAGAAACACAGGGAACTCCTGTCGTAGAGGGTGTGATTCTCCCCATCATGGGGAACAAGAGGGTTTTTAAAGTGATGATTCAATGGCTACATTCCAGGTGTTCCCTGTCCAGAGTTGTAATTGTTAGAGTTTGTTTTAAATGGGAACTGATTTATTTGGAAATATTCACCACAGTGTTGTTTCATATTGAATGGTGATCAGCAGCTGCTTGCTTTGTTGATCCCAGAATTAAATTTTTTTAACCTATTCTTTCCTTAGTTTTCTTTAATCTGAATCATTAATTTTAGTAAAAAATCTTATTCCTAAGCCATATTATGAAGTCTGTATAGTTAATCAGAATGATCATACGTCTCAAACTGAGATACCTGCATTGACCTATGCTGGACTTTCCTGTGCTGTAGCAGCATTGGGAGGGACCATTGTTGACTGTGACAGTACATGTCCCTGATACAGGCATTTAGATGAAAAATGATGGGTACTGCAGAGATTCTAAAAACTGCCAAAATAACCCCTAAATTTGAAAAAAAAAGTGGGGTCTAAATGTTGATGTTACAGATTTTTTTAATTAATTTGCATTTTTAAAAATTTAAATGTTTCCATATAGTGTACAGATTTCTGCATTTAAAGGTAAATCTCCTTCATTTCTGCCCCTGGTATCAACTGGAGTCAATGTTGCTTCAGAAACACCTGTTCCATCACCTGGGGCGACCCAGAGAAGTGAACACAGGGCTCAATTACCAGATTCTTCAGATTCTGTTAGACAAATGCTCCAAGATGAAATGTTTAAATTAGTTCAGGTGAGCATATCTCTACAAAAGTAAGTAGATCTACAAATGATTGTGTGTGGTTTAAAGTTACTAAACTTCCAGAAATGAATTTCTCACTGGTGTGCTGCTCTCTGCTGTTCTTTCTTGAAAACTTGTTCAAAACACACCCATTCTGGGAATCCTTTATTCTCACCCTCCTCCATTGAACCACTCCTTTATGATCCCTGGATGGATTTGTGAACTGGTTCATAGGTTTATGCATAGTCTCAGGTTTCATTGGTGATTTAGTGTTTATGTTCCCGTACTTTTTTGTACCCTTTTTTTTAAAAAAAATCTCTCCTAGCCCTGCCTCCCAGTCTGCATTTGTGAGTCTTGACAGATGCCAAGGCAAAAGTGTGACAAAGAATATTCAGGTGGTTATTGTTGATTCCTTAGATTCTTTTCATTATGTTTTAAGCTATCTCTTTAATTCTGTTTTGTTGTAGCTGCAACAGATCAACTTCATTAGTTTAATGCAAATAGTAGGATCATCTTTTGCTAACCTCCCAGATGTGCATCAACTTCTACAGCAGACTCAGATTGAACGTTTGGGAACAAGCCAGGTTTCAAACCCTACAGGAGGGAGTGATGATGTTGAAGTCAACAGAAGTAGGAATCTTAGTCAGAAAATTTTCATTAAACCACAATCCATGGGAGAGTACACCACGGAGCCTGGCAAGAATAACTCACATGGCCATGAAGGAATTATCCATTCTGATCAGAATAATAATGGAAATCTTCAGGTAATGCCAATAAAAATACCATTCATGTTCTAGTAGTCTGATCATTGTTATTTTGGTATTTGAGCAAATTAATTTTTACTGATAAGCAGGTGTTTAATGATACATTCCTCTTCACAACGATGACTACAGAGACTTTTAAAAACTAGGAAATTAGGAATTTACAACCAGGCATCACAGATCTGAAATAAACTGGTTTCTTACCACAACTACCTTGTAAACACTGCAACCTTTCTTCTCTTCAAAATGACCCTAATATCACATGGAAACGGTTAATGGGGAAACCAGAAACCTAGATTTATGAGCAAAACTATAAACAAAAGGGAAATATAGCAATTCAGGGGTTTGGTAAAAGCAGAGAATGCAGTGCTCTTCACTGCTGCTTTGCTCTTCTTACTCTTGCTCTTTTTCTCTCTTCTTCAGCCCTTCCATGTTGCTCCAGTAGGCTTGAGTAAGCCATCTGAAACTTATTCACCTCTTTGGAGCTCACCACTGTGATGATCTTCTTTTTCCCATGCATTGCTCTCAACAGACACTTGTTGTCTGAGGGCTCCACACCCTCCACAGAACCCTTCCTCAGTGTAGGTTTAGTTGGACCATCATACTTCTTCAAGGTGATGTGCGTGCTGCCGACAGCTGACACTTCTGGAAGAGCCTAGGCAGCCCCCCGAGGAACTGTGGCTCTCCAGGAGCACCATCGCAGAACTGCTGGACCCTTCCGGTCAACATCAGCCCCCAGAGCAGATTAACTTTTTAATAATTTTCTTAACATTCCACCCCTCAAAATATGTTTAAAATCATTTACAAAATATGGAGTTTGTAATATTCTAAACTTACATTATATCTTTTTTTTTTCCTTTCCAGAATGTTCCCCATGGGAGTGTATCTTCATGTCAAGTAGATGGCCAATCTCAGAAGACAGGACTCACCCCAGCATCTCAAAGCTTAGCACCCCCTTCATTTTCCTTAACTCCTGCTGGAAATACTCCCTTCCATCTTTTGTCCACGCCTTCTAATGTCTGGAAGACACCTAGACTTATCCCACCTGCCAAAACGTCCAGTCCTGATTCTGGCTTTCCTTTGCTTCAGTTTGAGCATAAACATGAATTCAAGCCCCTTTCTTTACAAGCAGAAAGAGTACCACACATTCCCTTTCGGCCTCTGGCCCAGCCAAGAGAGGCTTGGGGCTTCCAGCCTCCTGTACCACAGGGAAAAATACCCGCTACCTCAGGATCCCACTCAAACTCAAGCCACTGCAGTACTGAAACCATAAACAAAGCAACTGAGCAGAAGAAATGGGCAGAAACTGTAATTACAGACATTCCTATGAAAGTGAACTTCAGTCAGTATATTGGAGAAGAAAACTTGACATCTCAACAGGACTCTGTAATATTAATAAAGCCAGAAAAACTCTATGATGCTAAGCAAGGGTCCCTTAAGATATCTCCTGAGAATTCCTTTGGACTTCCATTGTTGCACCTGCAATTTAAGTCTCCTTATATATTTTCATCAGCCACAAGAGCACCAATTACAGTTCCCCCAAGACATATTAGAACTGTAGCAGAAGAGAGAAAATACCCACAACTATCATTATTGCAATCATGTTTGTCCTCGGAAAATATGGTAATTAATTTTTGTGCAGTGATACAAGGGCAGGATCCTACATTTTTTGTAACATGAATTCTATAAGTTCAGTGAAAACTCTAAATAATGCTTTTGGGTTTTTTGTATTTTAATTTCATATAACAGAAATTTCAGGTTTAAAATAAGTGTATTTTAGAGATAGTAGGCCTTTTTTCTTTATCAGTATATCAGAATTTAATTGAATCTTTCATAGTTATTTCTTCTCAGAGAAGAAATAAAAAAAAATATAATTATTAGGTGTTCTTGTTTGCATGTGGGTGTGTGCATGTGTAGAGAGCAAGAGTGAGCCAGTGAGAATGCTAACAATTGCAATATGACTCTCTTCAAATCTGTTATAGGTTAAAGTTAAGTCAACCCTGCTCTATCAGTATCTGTGCATGTAATTAAATGGTAGCTTTGTAAACCTACCAAATTCTCTTTTAAGATATTATCTTTGATTTATGAAATACAAAATGTTTAGGTTCTAATTTTGTACATGAGTAGTACCATCTTAGGGAGAAATTCATTCTGTTGTATGCTTTAAGATTTAAAGATGATACTGGAAAGAGAAATGGCTGTTTCTTAGAAAAAATAGTTAGCATGCCTCCTTCTGAACACATATAAAGAAGGAGGAAGAATTAAAGAAGTGGAAAAGTTGGCGTTTTGAAATTAATTTTTTAAAAAATTTTATTAGAATAGTATAATGAACCCTCAAGTTCCCATCACCGTATTTAGGAATTGTCAAACTTGTTTTAAAAATTAAACTAGAGGTCTTCATCCATATCAATGTTTTAGTAGCTCAATTCACAATAGCCAAGCTATGGAACCAATCTAGGGTGCCATACAACAGATGAATGGGTAAAGAAAATGTTGTATATATACACAATGGAATATTACTCAGTCATAAATAAAAATGAAATTATGGATGTAACTGGTGAATATCATGCTAAGTGAAATAAGCCAATCCCCAAAATCCAAAGGCTGAATGCTCTCTTTGATAAGTGGATGCTAACTCATAACAAGGGAGGGTAGAGAGGGGAAGATTAGAAGTTCACTGGATTAGACAAAGGGGAATGAAGGAAAGGGAGGGGAGGGGAATAGGAAAGACAGTAGAATGAATCAAACGTAACTTTGTGAATACACAACCAGAGTAACTCCACATCATGCATAACCAAAAGAATGGGATCCTAATTAGAATGAACTATACTACATATGTGTATGATATGTCAAAATACACTCTGCTGTCATGTATATCTAAAAAGAACAACAACAAGATTAAAGGGTACAAATCTTGAGGACCAGAGATATAGTGATATAGTGATACAGTGATATATTGCTCAGTGATATAGTGCTTGTATACCTCGTGCAATTTAATGTTGGATTTGATCCTTAACGTGTTTTTTTTAAAAAAAAGACGTAGTTGAAAATTTCCATTCTAAAATCTCTAATTCTTCAAAATATGAATACTTAGCTTACCACGTTGTTATATTTGATTTTTTTCTGTCTTTTGCATATTTTGGTTTAATTAAATTTTTTTTTCAATTTGTCAACGTATTGTATATTTGAGTTTATAAACTTTCATTATTCTGTTTCTTGTAGTGCAAGAAACCGCAGCTTATCCCACTTGAAAACCTCATTACATTTAAACAAAGCCAGCAGAAACTAACACATCATTTATTGCAACAAGGGGATTCTGGTTGCCTTCAGCTTCTCAATATCAAAGTAGAACCATCTGGAATAAGACAAGGAAAGAACAGTCACAAAAGGCAAGTTCTTGCCTGGCTTGTGGCTTAGTGGTAGAGCGCTCGCCTGTTCAATCCTCAGCATCACATAAAATAAAATAAAGATATTGTGTCCATCTACAACTAAAAAATAAATATTAAAAAAGGCAAGTTCTGATTTTTTTGATGATATGTATCAAGTTATTACTTATAAATCCATATAGTCTTTTTTTTTTTT